TACATATATATAATATATATATACTATATATATGTATATACATACATATATATATATATATATATTTATATATATACGCACACATACAGACACACGCCCACACATACAGACACACGCCCACACTCACAGACACACAGACACACGCACACACACACACACAGAATTACACATACATACACACAGACACAATCACCTGCACTCACCCACCTACCCACACACCCACACCCACTCATATACACATGTATATTATATATATATATATATACACGAACACAAATGCACAGATACAGACTATATATATATATATATATATATACGTATCTTCTTCTCGTATGATTACACTAATTCGCTCCATTGAATGGACACACAACAGCGCATCTTTCAAATCTCCGAGCAGATTTCGGAGATGGTGAAGGACGTGGCTGAGAATGAGGACAATATGGATACAGTACTTACTGAGTACGCCAATGATATAGTGTGCACACGCGATGTGGAAAACAGGAAGCAGGTGTCAATTGGTAGGTCGATGACTGTGTTGAGTGCATGAGAAATGTTGGGTACATGACAGTCGGGTTGTTGTGGTGTGGTTCGTAGGCCTTCGTAGGCGCAGTTGGCGTGTCTTAGGGTGTTTCCATCGATATAGCTGTGTTGTGTTTGCGTGCAGCGTGTGTTCGGTTCTATCGCTTGTACCAACTACCAAACAACCTCCTGCGCTACACGCACCCGCTCCTGTCCCTTCACACAGTGTAGCCTCACAACTACAACCGAACGCACCGATAGATAAGGGCAACCAACCAGCCTCAGAGCAAGTAGTCTACCTAGACTAATGTGGACTCATTAATCACCAGACACTGTACTATCGAGTGGTCTCCGAAGGTTTATGCAAGTGTAGCAGCTTCGGAGCAAGTAATCTGCCTAGACTAATGTGAACTCATTAATCACCAGACACTGTACTATCGAGTGGTCTCTGAGAGTTTATGCATGTGTAGGATTCGGTGGACGGCTTTTGAACGTGTATGCATGCATACAATCGCACTAATGTACATAGAAACACTTCACCGATTTGTACCTTTGGCGTTATCTGTCAGTCCCTCTTCTGTCAATGTTTATGCACAGCATCGCTGTGCGGGTTTTTTGTAAACCTACCCCTAAAACTAAAACCCTAAAACCCTAAACCTTAAACCCTTACTACAGGTGGCTACGCGACACTCCAGGTCTCACTGCTGGTGATCAAACAGCTCAAGAACAAATACACATACCTTTACGAGTAAGTGAGAAGTTGATCTGTATACATAGAGATATACACTTCCAAACAACACAAGAACAAATGCACAAACCTTTACGAGTGAGTGAGAAGTCCCCTTGTATACATAGAGATATACATTTCTAAACAACACGAGAACAAATGCACAAAACTTTACGAGTAAGTGAGAAGTCCCGTTGTATACATAGAAATATACATTTCTAAACAACACAAGGACAAATGCACAAACCTTTACGAGTAAGTGAGAAGTCCCCTTGTATACATAGAAATATACATTTCTAAACAACACAAGGACAAATGCACAAACCTTTACGAGTAAGTGAGAAGTCCCCTTGTATACATAGAAATATACACTTTCGAGTGAGAAGTCCCCTTGTATAGAGACATACACTTTCGAGTGAGAAGTCCCCTTGTATACATAGAGACATACACTTTCGAGTGAGAAGTCCCCTTGTATAGAGACATACACTTTCGAATGAGAAGTCCCCTTGTATACATAGAGACATACACTTTCGAGTGAGAAGTCCCCTTGTGTATATAGAGACATACACTTTCGAGTGAGAAGTCCCCTTGTATACATAGAGATATACACTTTCGAGTGAGAAGTCCCCTTGTATACATAGATACATACACTTTCGAGTGAGAAGTCTCCTTGTATACATAGAGACATACACTTGCACCTATTTGCGTGTATCCCCCACTCTACACCCACCACCCACCACCAACCGTCTTTTCCTTTGCCTTTATCTCATCAGCTTTTTCCAGACGTATGCACGGGATTATCCGTTGCTATGGCAACAAGCGCATAAGGCGCGTGCCCACATCATGAGTCTCAGTGGCCTGCTCATCGCTGCCATCGCTCTAAGGTAAGGCGTCTATGGCTTACGCTCTGAGAGATGCTTCTGCATACACACAGCAAGTAAATCTGTTATATAGACATAGCAAGTCATCTGTTGTATAGACATAGCAAGTCAACCTGTTTATACACACGGTGCTTGTTCGATTGTGTGGGGGATGTAGTATGCATTTGAGTTAACCTTTGTAGTTAGGTGGTATAGCCTACGCTGTGGTTGTATCGTTATGTAGCATGCATTTGATTTGACCTCTGTAGTTGGGTGGTATAGCCTATGCTGTGATTATATCATTTCCGCTATTTGAAGTTGGTGTGTTGGTCACACATGGTGTGTGTTTGTGTGGTATAAGTGCGGGTTGTACTCTGTTTTACGGTTTTAATTTTACGTAAATCAGTATCAATACAATAGTGAGCAAGCGGCAGGAACAGAATATAAATACGTACTATTCATGTACCAACTATTCAATTACCTGTTAATCTGTTCAATATACGTGCACGCGGATAAAAACCCTAAACCCTAAACCCTAAATCCCAAACCCCAAACCCCAACCCTGAAAAAACAAATGCCGATACAACAGAGAACAGGCCGAGGATGAAGATGAGCTGCGTTCGTTCTTCGTAAAGTATGGGGTAGGTGTACCACACTTTCTCTGTTATTCACTGGCAGACTCCCAGTGGTCGTGTGCATACAGCCTAGGGGTGGGGCGCAGATTCGCACGCTTTGCGTATCCGCTGATTAATGGATATAGCTTGGCCCAGTTGTTGTCTATATGTGCCAAGCAAACGAGTTCTTGTCTTCGATAGTATGATATAATACGTATGACACCACATGTGTAGTTAGTTGTTCACAAGAAGATGTCATGGCGAGTGGTTGCGCTGTCATCCCTGACATATGCTTGTGTGTGTCCACATGGCTGTGTGGACTATAGTTATTGTTTGGTTCTAGATACAAGAGTTGTATTTTAATTTGTACAAGTGCTGTATTTTAATAAGTTCAAGTGTTATATTTTAATAGGTACAAGTGTTGTATTTTAATAAGCACAAGTGCTGTATTTTAGTAAGTACAAGTGTTGTATTTTAGTAAGTTCAAGTGTTGTATTTTAATAAGTACAAGTGTTGTATTTTAATAAGTTCAAGTGCTGTATTTTAATAAGTACAAGTGTTATATTTTAATAGGTACAAGTGTTGTATTTTAATAAGTACAAGTGTAGCATTTTGATAAGTTCAAGTGTTGTATTCTAATAAGCACAAGTGTTGTATTTTAATAAGTTCAAGTGTTGTATTTTAATAAGTACGAGTGTTGTATTTTAATAAGTTCAAGTATTGTATTTTAATAAATACAAGTGTTGTATTTAAATAAGCACAAGTGTTGTATTTTAGTAAGTACAAGTGTTGTATTTTAGTAAGTACAAGTGTTGTATTTTAATAAGTACAAGCTGTTGCATTTCTCATATGTCACGCCTTGTATGTCGTACACGAATGCATTATTGCCATATTTCTCCATGTACAAACATATGTCGGGTTATATATATCTCTACGTATAGGTATCATAACACCAATCACTACGTTCCCAGGGCTCCTGTTCGCAGTATCAACTACTTATCCTCTGCAATTCACAACATCTGCATCAGGACAACTTGCACTACGAGGACTTCTTCCAGGACGTAACTACCATTGACGCGTTTCTGTCGGAGATATCTGAATTGCACCAGGTCAGTAC